ATGGCTCATCGTCCTACGACCCCGATGAGTCCGTGCTGAGCTTCCGTTGGTAATGCGATGCACATCGTCACAGCGAGAACGCATTATTCACGAAAGAATGACCAGAAAAAGCCTAAACCAAGAAAGGTGGCCAGCTGAAATGGTACTTACTTGTTAAATGTCACTTTGCCATCTCAACGAGGCATGCCATGATTGGGTTGGCTCTTGTATGCTTGTCCTACGTGCATGTAAACATGTCAAAGTGATGCAGGGTGGGAAGCGGACTTATGTGAAAATAAACTAGCGTATGATCCGGTAGTTCCGGGTCTCGTTTCAGCGTCGTGACTGCGTGTTTGTGTGTGTATGCAACAACCACGAGTTGGTTGGCAAGTTCACGTCTTCTCCACTTACCCACTCGCTCTTCCTGTCCCCTTTCATTCTCTCTCTCTCTCTCTCTCTCTTTCTCTGTCTCTTTATTCTATTTAGCAGCCAATGATAGTTCCCAATTTGTTTCCTACATTCGTTTCTCTGCTCCACAATGTTCTCTGTTTGATTAATTGCAATTGAGTGTGATCTTCCATTTGGCTGTAAAGTCCCCATTCCCGGCGAAATGTTCTGATTTACCGACCACATGTTGAGCCAATTGGGATTTCTCAATCCATCAGCCTGTGCTGGCGAGTCTCTTTTCTGATAGCCACTTCTGTATGAGTCGACAAGTCTCCTCCCCATGAGCACTACCACATGAGCACAAAACCATGAAACAACCTGATCTGCAGAGGGAGGAGGAAGATTCGCTGAAAGAAGGCTTGATCGAGGAATGCATTATTCTTTCTTTTTACATTGTCCTCACGCTACAATTCATCAACAATTGGCCCATTTTTCCTGAAAGCTTGCATGATGCTGGCATTGGGAACCAAGACGAATAGTTGTCTAATTCCTTTTTTTCTTTCAAATACTGTTTTTCTTCACCCTATTTCTCAATATTGCGAAATTGTCAACACTTAATCCCAACGCGTAGTTGTTGGCAACCAAGATTGTTCCGAACCTTTTCGTGATGATTCACTTGCGCTCCTCTTTACCATTGACTTCATTACGACTAACTCAACACCATAAGCATGCTTCGAGAAGAAGTTAAAAAGGAAACTAGCATTTTTGTGTTTCCTACACACATTTCTACCCAGTTTGTTCCCTTCTTTACGAACTGGAACATCTAACAAGTTTGCAAACACAGGCTCCAGCTTAGTCTAGTCTTTTAATCTTACCCACTCGCTCTTCCTCTTCCCTTTCATTCTCTCTCTCTCCCTCTGCCGATCATTCTACTTAGCAGCCAAAAGTAGTTCTTGCTTAGTTTCCTACATTCGTTTCTCTTCTCTAGAATGTTCTTTATTTTATTACTCAATTCAACAATTGAACAGACAAAAGTGCAAGGCAACCCTCGTGCGATTTCCGGTGCGGTTATTCTACAAACCCTTCCAACCCGCCTTCTTGAACGAAATGAAAGGTAGGTCTGTATCAATCTGCTGAAGCATTCTTTGAACTATGACTTCACGGCACAACCACACAAAGTTGCTGCTTACTTTTCAACACTCGCGGCTCCAATTCACGACGTTGGCTTCTTTGTCTACACGATCCAGATTGAATAAGTGAATAAATGAATGAATGAATGAGTGAATGAGTGAATGCGTGAATGAGTGAATGAGTGATTGAGGGAATAAGTGAATAAATAATTGAGTGATTGATTGAATGAGGCAATGAAGGAGTGAATGAATGAGTGAATAAGTAAATGAGTGAATGAGTGAATGAGTAAATGAATGAAGGAATGAATGATAGATTGAGTGAATGAGTAAATAAGTGATTGAGTGATTGAAAGAATGAGCTAATGAAGGAATGAATGAATGAGTGAAATAGTGAATTATTGAATGAGTGAATGAGTGAATGAGTGGATGAGCGAATGAGTGAATGAGTGAATGAGTGAATGAGTGAATGAATGGATGAATTAATGAATAAATAAATGAATGAATGTGAGAATGAGTGAATGAATGAGTGAATGAGTGAACGAGTGAATGAGAGAATGAATAAATAAATTAATGAATGAATGAGTGAGTGATTGAGTGAATGAGGCAATGAACGAATGAATGAATGAGTTCAGGATTGAACGAGTAAATGAATGAATGAGTAAATGAAAGATTGAATGAATGAGTAATTAAGTGATTGAGTGATTGAAAGAAAGAGGCAATGAAG